CCTTTTTATAGGTGTTTTAATGCATTGAAGTAGGAGCTATTGACTTCTTTTTACAATAAAAAAGGTTTTCTCTTTTTTCATAAACTTGGAAATTGAAATAGCTCAATAAAACTGCGGCAAAAAAATGGTCCAACGTGACATTTTGTTATATGATAGCTTACCACTAGGTGGGAGTGTAAGCAAGTTGTAGAAATTATCTTATAGAGCCCTTTACACAACAGACATTTGAGAAGCAGCTTCTTATTTTCATATTTGCAGGTTGGTAGGTAGGTAGGTAGAGGCTCTTTAGTAGCTACAAACCAGAGTTACATAAAGATGACAAAAAGAATCCTTCCCTGCTGTGTGAGTGCATTATATATATATATATGTATATATATATATTATCATCACCAATGAGCTGCTTGCATCCTGCCTTAAACAGGGTGTTGTTGCATTTTTTCCCTTTAGAAGCACATCTGTTAGAAGTCGTAGGAGTTCACAATTTATCAGCAAAAATGTGGTATGAAAATCCTGATTGTAACACTGAAAATCCACGTATCAGATTTCTGCTGGTATAAACTGGTATCTTTATCTTCCCTTTCACACAGCCATTTTATTTGTGCGCACACTGCAGCACTGTGGAGGTGTGTTTGTGTATGTGTGAGTGAGAAGCAGGTTTTTTTTATTTGTGTGCCTGAGTGATGGTGCGATGATGGTGACTCATCGCTGATTTGTGTGTGTATATGAGAGTGTGAAAGATGAAGAGAGGGAGAGATTTACCCGCAGAACATAATGAACCATAACAAAGCTATGGCTTTACATGGGAGTACTGCAGTCCAGATCAGCAAAGGCTGGCAGGTCATGCCAAAAAAAGAGCGATATTGATCTCAGATCACAATGCTGAAAAAAAAAAACAATAACAAGAGGTGGAACATCTGTTCAATTACAAATATATAAAAAACTGGTAAAAAAAAAAAAATGCAAGGTGTTTAATCTAATTTAGTGTGGTTCATTATCTTGCTGTGCTGCTGAGCTGACCTTGTGGTTTGTGTGTCTTCCAGCTTCTAGGCCTGTCTTACCGAAGTCCACTTCCAGCAGAGACAAGGACATGCATTTCACTGTAAGTTCATAGACTAACATCTGTTTCTTCTCACCTACTTATTAAAAAAAACTATTATAAGAAAAACTTTGCAGATCCATCTTTTATAATTGCAGACCTTTTTTTATTTGCTAGATGTCAAAGGATTGTTTTGCAACACAATTATTTTTCATTTATTATTCATTAGATGTATCTATCAAGCTAATACTGATATAAAAAAGCTAAACAGATCTGATAAAAACCAATGCCCTAATAAAAAGGGAACATCAGTAAGAACATTAAACTGGTTGTCAGCAAAAGTTCTCATTATTCTGACATTTCTCCCCAGAAATTACATTTCACAGAATATTCCATGGACTGTGAAGCAACCTTCATTATTTCTGTCCTCTAAATTAAATCTACATATTTGAAACAAATAAAGCTTACAGCTAAAAAAGTTAATGAAAAAGTATAGCAAAATGACTGGACCCCTGAAGCTTCTCTAAGAGTTACTTTTTGAAGCTATCGGCACCTTTAGAGATCACTCCATTAAAGGTTATCTGAAGGTTATCTAAAGTTTTTATGATGTAACCTTTAAAGAGTATTTGGAGGACATTCTCTAAGGGCTGCCAAGATGCACTTTGTTCCAAAAATGTTTAGGGAACCTTGAAGCAATATTTTACTGAAGTTTTATATAAATGTTTAACACTGAATAAACAGGTGAACTTTAAGAGGAGGAGTAGTTCTCAGTGGGTCACATTGTTGAATTTAAAGGTTCTTTATCATATATTTTTTAAGTCTTTAAAATGAACTATTGGCATATGAATAATATATTTTCTTTGGCATTGTGGAATATTTGTTCTTACAATGTGGAAAAATATGTTTGCCTTCACTATGACCCTGTCTTTCCCTGTGTGAGTGCCACCCATTACATGACGTCAGCCTGAAGCTGCTCTAGAATGCTACCAGACCACTTCCAGAAATTAAGCTATTTTTTCAAGCTTTCTTTAGGAAAGCTTAAAAAAGTTTATTTATATAATTTCCAACTTCTAAAACCCTGAAGGATGTGTTTTACATCTTGTCCATATGCAGAGGCGCATTCTGGAGGGACTAAATCAGGGGTAACCAATTAAAAATCAGCAGGGTCCGAATAAAGAAAATCATCAACCAGTAAAGATCCGCAGACATTTTTTAATTATAATCTGTTACTTTAAACCAAATTTAACACTGAAATAAAAAGCAGGTTTTTATTCATCCATGTTATACATTGAAATTTTAAATAAAGAAAATATATAAAAAAAAAGAAGAAAATTTTTCCATTTTAAAACCTAAAGTGTTTTTTTTGAAGTAGAGAACAACAATCATTCAGTTCAGTATATAGACAATTTCCTGATTCACATATTTTATAAAACACCAGAACTGACCGTTTAGTTTTTTAAGGCTTAATGAGAGAAGTGGGCTTTAATCTGCCCTGCTAGGCTTTAAACCTGGGTTTGAATGGCAACAAAGCCACTCCCACACACATATTAAGCCTGGATCAATATTTATTTTTGATTATGGTCATGGTGGAGAATTCTGCTTCCCAGCAGGTTGAGCCAACATTCTCAAAATTTGCAGGGTCATCTTTGAGCACGCCATTTCATTTTTCTTTCACTAGTTCATTTCCAGCAGTCCA